TTCAAGAGATATAGCGTTCTACATAGGTACAAGTTTTGAAAAAAATCGCTCAAAAATTTGGGGATGCTGTCACAAAAATCTTCATAATTTGAAAAATAATTGAAATTTTTTTTATAAAAATTTTATTTTGTCGATGAAATACATTGAGGTACTTATTGTTCAAATTTTGAAAAAATCGGAGATGGTCGGGCGTGGACTTTTTTTTAAATCGTTCAAGTTGACGGAGAATGACCCATATATATATATATATTAATACATACATACATATATATATATATATATATATATATATATATATTGGATTAAGATTGTCAGAAATGCAATTATTGTTGAAAATGTTTCACATTAATTAACTTCATGTTTAATATTTCTGTTTGGAAATCAAAAAATTTGACAACGATTTATAATCTATCTTTAGAAAAATTAAAAAATTAAACAGGAAGCTAACAAGGTGATTTTCATCTATATATATATATAACGATATATATATATATATATATATATGTGTGTGTGTGTGTGTGTGTGTGTGAGTATTGAATTGATAAAACCTCAGAAAGTGGAAGTATTGGAACTCTTGATAGAGCTTTACCTCTCTCAACATCTTCATTTGTGTCCACTTTCAGCAAGAGACGATATCTGTGTGCAAACACAATGTCAGACATGATCAGCAACTAATTATCAGGGCTTGTTAAATTAATTTTTTGCTATTTTTTATTAACATTATTAACAAACTCCTAAATAAAATTGACATTAAAAAACTTAAACTACATTTTATAAACTAAACTAAAACACAATTAAGTTTTGTTAATAAATAACATGTGCATCTACTCAAACTTTTCACAAAATGCATGCATAAATACCTGTTTGGATTGCGCATTTTAGAAGCTCCTTTAGAAAAATTAGAAGGTTCATTCAATTCCTGGCCTGGTTTTGTGCTGCCTCTGTTTGGCGACTGTTGCTTCTTTTTCGCCCTGTGATCCACAATACCTTGTTTTTTTGCAAAATTTTAAAAATTATATAGTTTTGAGTAAATTTTTTTAATTGTGATTAATTTGAAAAAGTTGTGATTAATCTTTGTTTTTACAATAAAAGTTTTGAAGATTGTAAAATTTGACAAATAATCATTAATTAAAGCAAACTAAAGCAAATTAAAGCAAGGTTGTGAAATGTTGATAACAAAGTTTATCATTAAAAAAAAATTTCAATTGTTTATTAAAACTTAATGTAATCTTCATTAAATTTTATTAAACCATTAAAAAAATATAAAAGCAGAATAACAAATTAATATATTAAGATAACAAATGAAGAATATTAAATTAGACAAAAATAAATAAAAGATAGGCAATGATAATGACAATATTGATGGTAGCAGAGAAGCTGGTGTAGATAGTGATGGGAAAGACTAATAGCAGCAACATTGAGAGAGGTCATAGAGCATCCAACACAGCTTCTTCAAATTACATTAGACCAAATGTTTGTTGCTCGAAAAGATGTATATTTTTACAAAACACTTTTTAAAGTTATCATGGATTGTAGCAGTACAAAAAAAGTTGGCTCCCATCAAATATATAAAAAGAAAAAACATATACAAATGGTAATTAGCTAGCAGAATAAGCTAAAAAAACTATCCTTAGCCAAATCTCCAAGTTAAAACAGTTAAACTGATGATTAATCAAACTAAAAACCCATTCCACATAAAAATGTGACAGTTTCCTAAGGCCTTATCCCAGCCCCAGCTAGCATTATTAATACCATTGTTAGCAACAAAGGTGTAATTTAGCTAATCGAAACATTGTATAAGAAGAGATTGTGAAAGTAAAAAACCCATTGATTTACGGTTTGTTAGACAATTTTTTTTATTCATTAAAAAATAATAATCTGACAGACGCATAAACTGTTACAACATGCAAAGCAATAATATAAAATTATTAAAAAAATGAATAACAGAGAAAAAATGTTTAAGCGTGAAAAGTATTGAAAATAAAACAATGGTTTAAAAAATCTTTTTAAACCATTGTTTAAATTGTATAATTATATATTATAATAATATACATTGTTTAATAAATAAAAAAAATAATTAATAGACTGACATAGTAAGTTAGGTGATCGATGAGAAAAAAGAATAGACAAAATTGAGTAAATGACAATGTTTTATTGAGAGATAATATATTTAAGGCGTCTTGTGATGAAGGTGTCTTATCCTGATATGTTGATTGAGTGGCGACTTGATAGTTATGCTTGAGTTGATGATTGATGAAGATTGCATGTAGTTGTTTTGATTGGTGGTAGTAGAGGATGGATGACATGGTTGTTGTTATTTTCTACTTTCTTGAACAGTATTGAATCGAGTGTGTTGAATATTTGAGTGATGGTAGGATATGATGCAAGTGGATAGTTGAGGCGAATTATTATATAAGATAAATTAAAAACATGACTCTTAGTCATTTGATATCAGCTAACATTGTTTTAACTAAAATGGACTAGACTAGACCTACCCACCATGATCACATAGAGTTAACATATATAAAATGACAATTAATTTTTGGTTTAGATACAAGTTTTCTAAATTAGGTATGTTAATTTTTTTACTAACTACTTTTTTTAAAGGTTAAATGAAGAGGACTTGAATTTACGTAGTTCTTTAGTAAAAACCAAATTGATTAACTATTAAAACAATAAAAGGCTTGTTTCATTACATTATTTAAATTAAATTAAAAATAAACATGATAATTATAAAATAGTCATTTATAAATTATAGTATGGTAAACTTGGAGACCACAAACTGCTATACATTATTATTATATTAAAATTTAAAATAGACCACTAATTTAAAATTAATTTCTATGTAACATTTATTTTATTAATTTATTACTATTAATAATTATTAAATTAATTAAGCAAAGCCACTTATTCTCAGCTCAGATGGATTAAATAATTATATAACACAATATCAATAGATAGATAGATACAAAAGCCTCAGAAAATCAAATGCCTTGGAAAATCAAAACATGGAAGCCGAAAAGCAATATTCATCGAGAAAAATTTCAAAAAATTGTTGCCACAGAGTTAGACCACCGATCGCAATCCAGTACAGATTGAAGTACATACAAAACCGTTTTAATAAACGCTGAAACTACAGTCTAGTACAAAACACCAGCATGAATGGGACACTTGGTGGTGGAATGACTGTACTAAATGCAATAGCTGAAAAGAAAGCTGCATACAAGCAATGGCAAAAATCAAAGTCTGTTGATGACCATAAAATTTTCCGTGGGAAGAACAACTATGCAAGACGTCAAGTTGCACTGGCTAAGACAGATCAGTGCAGAGAGTGGCTCACTAAAAGCAAAGGCGAACAAATGAAATCTCTGTAACGTATAACAAAAAGAGCAAAGCGTTCGAAAAAAGAAATAGTTGGTGCCTCATGTATCAAAAATGACAAAAATGAGATGGTTCTTAAACAAGATCAGATCAAGCTACAGTAGAGAAAACACTTCAACCGTCTGTTAAATGAAACAAATACAATCAATGTCAACTTTGACGCTCCACCCATCGAAGGTCCGATTCCAGACATCACTGTAGAGGAGCTTACAGAAGCTCTGAAAGCTATGAAGGATGGAAAGGCAGCAGGGCCCTCTGGACTCACAAATAACATTATCAAAGCATCTGGTACTGCAGGTATCCAAACGTTACTATAACATTGCCGTGAAATCTGGAGAAATTGCTCAATGCCGACTGAATGGAACTATAGCATGACAGTCCCGCTATACAAAAACAAAGGTGATCCATTGAACTGTTCATCATATCGGAGTATACGTCTGTTAGAACACTCCCTGAAAATTGTCAAGAAAATCATTGAGAGAAGATTAACGTCGTGCATCACAATCGGAAATTATCAATTTGGTTAGGGTTAGGGTACCTCGCAAAGCATCAACAACTATCACACATTTTTGTAGACCTTGAAAAAGCATTTGATCGAGTTCCCCGTGAAGCAATCAGGTGGAGTCTACGTCGACAACTCATTTCAGAATATCTTGTTCGACTTGTGATGGAAATGTATACAAATACTAAGACTCTTGTCAGCACAACGGTTGGAAACACAGATGCATTTGTCATCGGCGTTGGAGTTCACCAAGGCTCGATTCTCAGTCCACTGTTATTTATAACTGTGATGGAAGAAATCACAAAACCTATACGCACTGGTGACATTTGGAATCTAATATATGCTGATGATATCGTTTTAACAGCCACATCAGAGCAGAATGCAGCACAGATGTTTGAAGATTGGAACACCAGACTCACCGATCATGGATTCAAAGTCAACATCAGCAAAACCAAAGCAATGAACATTTGTGAACCCATCCAATCTACAGCTACTGGGCGATGGCCCTGTTCAGTTTGTAAAGCTGGTGATGGTAACAATTCAATCAAGTGTCAGCAGTGTAACCAGTAGTGTCACAAACGTCGTTCGAAAATAATTGGTACTAAAGTGTCCAATTTTGTTTGTCCTCCTTGCATCAATTCTCAACAACAAATTCGAAATAGCACTGTTTTTGAAGCCATTAAGGTAGAGAAAGTCACATCGTTTCAATATCTCGGGGATGTTCTGGATTGTACTGGAACAGCTGAAGCTGCCGTTCGAGCACGCATACGTGCAGCCTAGAATAAATGGCATCTCCTTGCCTCTATATTGATGCGGCATGACATCCCACTACCACTACGATCAAGACTTTATAAATCTGTGATACGTCCGGTGTTGTTATATGGTGCAGAAACATGGCCAATGACAACCAAACTGGAACAACTTCAACGAACCGACATGAAAGTGCTCCGATGGATGCAACGAATTAGTCTGAAGGACCACATCAAATCTACAGAAATCCTGTGTCGTACTGGTTTAGATGATATAAAGGACGAAATCCGACAACACCGTCTGCGGTGGTTTGGTCATGTCAAACGAAATGGAAACGGTGCCATAACTTCTCTTGCAGATGTTGAAGTACCTGGCACACGTCCCAAAGGCCGTCCAAAGAAGTTCTAGTCGCAAACAATCGAGCAAGAACCCATCCAATCCATAGCTACTGGAAGATGGCCCTGTACAGTTTGTAAAGCTTGTGTAGGTAACAATTCAATCAAGTGTCAGCATCCCCAGTGGTGTCACAAACGTTGTTCAAAAATAATTGGTACTTTATCTAGTGTCCAATTTTGTTTGTCCTGCTTGCATCAATCCACAAAAACAAATTCGAAATAGCAATGTTTTTGAAGCCATTAGGGTAGAGAAAGTCACATCGTTTCAATATCTAGGGGATGTTCTGGATTGTACTGCAAAAGCTAAAACTGCCATTCGAGCATGCATATGTGCAGGACCACAACAAATCTACCGAAATCCTGTGTCGTTCTGGTTTAGATGATATAAAAGATGAATGCCGACAACACCGTCTGCGGTTGTTTGGTCATGTCAAATGAAGTGGAAACAGTGCCATAACTTCTATTGCAGATGTTGAGGTACCTAGCACACGTCCCAAAGGCCGTCCAAACATGAAAGCTCTAAATTTAAATGAAATGATTCAACTAATCGCCTAATTTGGTGCAAAAAATTGATGGCAAAAAAATAATGTACTACCTCGGGAGAACTGGGTCTCTGGACGCTAAACAAAGTTTTATTGAATATCAATAGATAATTACATACTGATCAATTAGTTTTTGTCTTTTTCCAATTAAATTCTAACTTTTTAATATAATAACAAACTATTTATTAAATAAATTATAAAACAACAAACAACACACGTTTAGACGACATTTTCCCGAGATCAGGGGTTGCCGTTAAATTATAACCTATTATTAAAATCGTTAATAATAAATTAAATTATTGAATGAAAGATAATTTAACTTTTTTATTTTTAAATTTCTAACACTAACCGAACTCATCTCTTAATTCATTTTTTTTGCGATCTCTTCTTTCTTTCAGTTGTTCTTTTTTCTGTTTGGCACTGAATGCTACTTTTCTATGGCCAGGTGGAGCCATGCTTGTTTTATTTTTACAACACTAGAACTTTATTATGACTTATTTATTTACTTTACTCTCTAAAACTAAAAGTTCAAACTAAAGCTAAACTAAACAAATTAGTGGCAAACCTAAGTTTCCTGCCCAACGCTGATAATAATGCATGATGATATACATAGAATAGACAATAAACGAAGCTGGAAAAAAGTTAATTTAATTTAATGTGTAAGTAAGACATGTTAAAAAAGTTCTAAGGTCCTTAGTAGGGTTAGGTTGGTTAGGCCGGTTAGTTTTTAACTTTAAAACATAAAATTAATTAAATTTTAATACAGCTAGAATTATAGATTAGAGCGTATTCGTAAAAGATAGTATTATTACACTTTCAGGGTCATGCAAAATTATCAGCTTTGGGCACGAAATTTAACGTTTGCATAAAAAAAGTGTTCACAAAAATGATACCCATGGACAACCATGGTGATACCACATATACCTATATTATTTAAAAATTTATTTATTCATAATATATTATTTGTAAAACATATTCACCATATTTTCAGTATTAAGTAAGACCATATATTTGAGGATTTTATTTATATGAGTTAGACTGACGATATTATTTTAAAAGTGGATGTAGGTTGTAATTAACTGCGTATTTTAAAACTTCAGTTTTATAAAATAGGATTTTAAAATTGGATTATTTATTCTACGTACATAAATGGATTTTTAGCATATACGTAAAATTTTAGCGTATACTTAGAATACCTAGATCCACTTAGATTCTATTAGTTCAGTTTTGAAGACCGAACTACTTACATACCTAAAATATCGATGCCGGTCCCACAAATGCACCCGGGAACATTTCAATCAATCAATCAATTAATCAATCAATCAATCAATCAGTCAATCAATCAATCCATCAATCAATCAATCAATCAATCATTTAGCTTATAAAGCGCTATTTCCGCGATGTTCAACAGCGCTTCTCAATGAATTTTGCAAACAGATGAGTCTTGGGATCCGCTCTGAACTTCGTAAGTGATAGAGAAGTAGTCAGAGAAGTAAGTAAAGAGTTCTAGAGAAAAGGGCCAGAAAAAGCAAAAGCAGATTTATCAAAAAAGTGTTTAGCATGAGTTAACTGAAGAAGTGAGACCAAGAAGACGATCGTAAACCGGGTTCAATTAATATATCTGATAAGTATTTAGGTAATAATTTAGATTGAGACTTAAACATGAATGTGCAAATTTTAAAAATTATTCTATGTTTTATAGGCAGCCAGTGCAGAAGAACAAGATATGGAGATATATGAGAAAAGAAAAAGGCACGAGCAACTAGACCAGCAGCTTTACTTAGAGGATAGAATGTAGAATAGGAAGACCATAGTAGAGCGAGTTTCAATAATCAATCATAGATAAGACTAACGAAGTAACAAGAAGGAGAAGAGTAGGATCATCAAGAATCAAGAAAAGGCAAAAGTTTTTTTATTCTACGTAGATGAAAGTATGAATTTTTAGCAACACTATTAATCTGAGAAGAAAGCGACATACTAGAATCAAAGATAAAGCCTAGACTACGAATCTTGTGAGAAACATCAAGAGTTTTAGAATCAGATAAGGTAATAGGAAAAATAGTAATAGAATGTTTAGATTTATTGAAACAAATTAATTCATATTTAGAAGGATTAAGTATAAGACACCTAGAGTCAGACCAAGCGATAATTGATGAAAGACATAGAGATAGATTATGAGGAACACTATTGAGATTAGATGGAGGAAAAGAAGTATAAATATTAAAATCATCAGCATATAGTTGACTAGTGAAGGAAAAAATTATTAACAATACGAGGTAGTTCAGAAGTATAAAGTAAAAATAGAAGAGGGCCAAGGATAGAACCCTGAGTACCCCGAAAGTATAAGAGTAGAGGAGTTAGAAGTAGAATGATTCAGAACAACAGAAGAAAAACGATTACAAAGACAAGAAGATACCAAAGACAAGAATCAGTAATATTAAAAGAAAGATCTAGCAGCCTCAAGAGAATAGCATGATCAACAGTATTATAAGCAGAGGAAAAGTCAAGCAAGAAGAAGAGTAAGATTACTATTGTCGCTTTAGGGTTTGATGTCATTTTCATGAATATATATATATATATATATATATATATATATATATATATATATATATATATATATATTCTATACACGAGTTAATTAATTAAATATTTTATATATATATATATATATATATATTTACAATATTCTATAAATTCTACCGAATGTTTGTCGTTAATATGTTTGTAGTTCGTTTTTTCAATTTTTCTCACTAAAGTTTTTTGGTGAACGTTTAGTTTAGTTTATTAAAATTCAAAATAAACTTATTTTCCGAATTCATGCTGCAAATAATGCCATATTTCGCTTCCGAATGAATCAACGTCAGTGCTTTCTGCTGTTTATATAGGGAAATATTGACTTTGTCAAAGTGAATTTAGATGGAAATTAGGTCTCAGATTTTTTTATTGGCTGGTCATGTTCTTTGGTCTTCTTTTCTTCATCGATAGCATCATATTCTGCTTTGTCACTATTTACAATGCTAGTTTTTATTACTTCTTTGTTTTCGTTGTTGGTTAAGCGCCGGGTTGGAAGTGAAGCTATTCTTAAACATATCATCAATAAAAATGTTACACCAACCAACCCAAATAACAAAGTTAAACTCCGAATATATTACAACAATAAAAAGACGTCTCACCTAATACTGAAAAACAACTGTAGTCCTAGAGATAACTCTGTGCTAAGGCGTAATCACGTAATATATGAATTTAATTGCCCCTTTGACGGCTGTGCACGTCAACATGACTCATATATCGGGATTACTACTACCTCATTCACTAGAAGGCTTACGGTGCATAAACAGAGTGGTGCTATCAAATCTCATTTGGACTCAACACACTCAATCACTATTAGCCGTGAAATCCTCGACAGTAACACCAAAGTAATATACCAGAACAGCAACTACACGCATCTTAATATTGCAGAAGCAGTCCTAATTGATATCAATAAACCAAAAATAAATATACAACAAAAAAATGACAACCTCACTTCCAACCCGGCGCTTAACCAACAACGAAAACAAAGAAGTAATAAAAACTAGCATCGTAAATAGTGACAAAGAAGAATATGATGCTATCGATGAAGAAAAGGAGACCAAAGAAGATGACCAGCCAATAAAGAAACCTGACACCTAATTTTCATCTAAATTCACTTTGACAAAGTCAATCTCCATCTAAATTCATTTTGACAAAGTCACTATTTCCCTATATAAACAGCAGAAAGCAGTGATGATGATTCATTCGGAATCGAAATATGGCCTTATTTGCAGCATGAATTCGAAAAATAAGTTTATTTTGAATTTTAATAAACTAAACGTTCATCAAAAAACTTTAGTGAGGAAAATTGAAAAAACGAACTACAAACATATTAAAGCCAAACATTCGGTAGAATTTATAGAATATTGTAAAAATTATGGTCTATTACCAACATATATATATATATATATATATATATATATATATATATATATATATATATATATATATATATCCATGATCATTCTTTAGTGTATCAAATTCCATCAAATTTTACAATTTTGATATTTTTATAGTTGATTCATATACATTATATATATATATATATATTCTATACCTGCGTTAATTAATTAAATATATATATATATTCTATACATGAGTAAATTAATTATTTTTGTTAACTTTTTTAAGTCGGTGGTGGATCTACATTCATTGAAATACAGTTAGACCTCCTTATAAATAACTTCTATGATCTATAGAACAAAAAACTTTATATAACGAATTTTTATATGTCCTTTGGAATTTTACATGTAAAACAGTTATTATAGAGCTAAAATAATTTCTCTATAACAAGCGAAACTTATAAAAGTTAAAAAAAATATTCAACAATTTAAAAAAGATAATTGTTGAACATAGTAAACTGTAAGTTACATTTTGGATTATTGTTTTACGTATTATGCTTTTGGCTCTATACATTTAATGCAAGTGCATACACATAATATTATGATATTTTTTTCACATTTTTCCAATTATACTATGTATTATTACTTTTTTGTTATGAAAATAAGTGATTAAGAAGATGATTTTTTTTATAAATATTTAGCATATAAACACCTTTTAAGCAATATAGAATTTTTACTCGAACAAATTCTATATAATGAAATTTCTATATAGCAAACTTTTTTTCTGGAGGTGAAAAGAAACAATTAAACTGAACGTTGACCAGGACGCAATTACGTCATTACACTGTACTTATGCAGTGCAAACGATCAGTCCTCATCGATTGAAATGGATGCGTGACGTCATTGTTTCTCTTGCTGAGCGTACAATGGGAAACTTAACATAGGGCAATTCCACTTTAAAATTCCATGATACCACTTTATTTTAAATCATAAATACCGTATACCGTATTTTTTCATCTCTCCACAGTTAAATGCAAATAAGAATTGATTTTGTAATTTTTGTTATTTTGATATCAATCAATATGATTGCTGATATTTTTTTTTCATACAGTCAAATTTTAAAATGCAGTTCAAAAAATATATACATTTAATCAAGCCATCAGTAACGGCATCTCGGTCTTTTGAACAGGGCTCATTTACGTCATCTTGCTCCCTATTTTGTAAAACATTTTTACAATTTTCTGAGATAGAATTTCTCATATTTTGAAGTTTTTTATTGCAAGGGCAGTCAATTGAATTTGATTCATAACATTTATTTGCAATAGATTCGTTAAATCCATCAATTGCTTCATGGCATTCTGGTGATTTGGATGCTTTGGTTAGTGTTTTTAAACTTTCATTACATTTTTTCGCACGTCCATTAAATTTGTTCCACAATTTTACACTTTTACGATTACTTTTTTTTTGTCCAAATTTATTTTTACAAATTTGAAGAGGATCGCATTTATTGTCATCAATTTCATTTAAAGAATCAGAACTACTTTTTGAATCGAGAGAGTAAGACCGCTTCGCTTGAAATGGCCTTTTTCTTGTATAATTATTTTTCATTTTGTCTGAATTTTGTAATATACAAATCGGATTGCAAAATTTATTTCGATTAGAATCAGATGAATTGGTTGATGAACACGACGAAACAGAATAGTTTCCACCAGCAAAACCCATGCAATTCAACTGTAATGGCCTGCAAGATTTATTTTGACGCGTTGAGTTGCTTATTTTGAATCTGTGTGGACAGCTTTGAATTTCGTCATCAGAAGACAAAGAGCTAGTAGATGACCGCGTGCTCTTCAAACAATTAGTAGCACCACTAACTTTGTCGTTATACCTGAATGATCGTCGAATTTTAAAATTTTTTGACTTTTTTTGACATATGTTTAATTGTTTTTCTTTTTTGAATAAATAATCTTTGACTGGATTGTTACTATAATTAAATTTAACTTTTTTTGGCTCATTAACATCTGAATTAGTTGACGAGTCGAATGATTCACCAAGTTCCGTGCGATTTGAGGTTTCATCACTTTTGCATTGGAGATCTTTTTTGTTTTCGAGAAAAGAACATAAAAGTTTTATTAGTATTTTACAATAAATAGATTCGGCATTTTTCATTTTTTTTGACTTGTGTGATAACGATTCTTGTTGCAAACAAGTCTGTTTTTTCTTTTGAGTTTGTGGCTTGCATGACTTCTGTCGTTTTTGACGCTGTTGCAAACATAATTCTAACAATGCAGACAGTTGTCGCAGACAATCGTGAAATTGGGTGTTTTGCGTATTATTTGTTTCCAATCCGCTATCATTAAGCATGGTTTGACCAGAATTTGAATATTTCTTTGTTAAATTATTATCAAGGCAGAATTTAGATGTTTTTTTAACGGTTGATTCATCGGATTGCATCTGGTCATAAGATAAATTATCATCTAATTTTGTACCATTATCAAAGTCACAATTTAATTCATCAAATACACTAGCAGGTTTTTTATAACTTTTCAAACAAGTGACATCCTTTTGCAGCGTTTTATTCTGCATTTGTGGCATAAAACGTTCATTCTGCGGCTGCACATTTTGTTGCTTACATTTATTTGATTGCTTGTAAAACTTGTAAGGCTGGAAATTCTGCTGCGTTGAACGTGTACAATCAAAATTTAGTGAATTTGATTTTTGTTGAAATAATGCAAAATTTTTTAGCTGTGGTTGCGGACATTGCTGCTTCTGTTCACTACATGAACGGGTTTCGTGAAGTCCCAAGTGATTATTAATATGCTGTTCACCGCTAGATAATCGACTTCCATTTTTCTGCTTCAATAAAATTCGTTTTCTAATTTCTTTACAGTATCTATCTGATATTCGAGTATTTCTTACTTTGCTGCACTTGATATTTTTTGTCACTTCGTTGACTATACCACAAATACAAAATTCCAATTCTTCGCAAAACGTTTTTTTGTCATTCATGCAGTGGTTTGTAACACCTCTCTGGGAAGCAAAATCTGGAGAATTGAAATTATGGCAACGTTCATAAGATTTTTTTGGATTCTTAGATTGACTTTGGAAAGAACTACATGCATCGCCATTAACGCATATCACGGGGTCGTGTTGACAAATTCCATTTAACTGATACATGTGATATCCATCTGATAAGTTTTTCGTTTCCTGGGGAACACATTTTTTTTGCAACAAAAGACTGCGTCTAGCTGTTGATGTAGGTGAGCGAAAAATTGGTTCATTGAAAACATTATCAAGATTTTTAGCCACAGGTTCATCTACAACGATAGGACTGAAGTCAGGAGATGCATTATTAATTTTTTTCAGTTTCGATGGCCCATCAAATTGGATTGTTTGATTGAAAAAACTGCTACCCCCAAATAGCTTACGTCTATCAACATCATCGTCGCCCGAAAAACTTTCGCTCGACAAAACAGACTCCTCCTCTAATAACTTTGCATTAGCTTTTTTCATGTATAATTTACTTAACGGAGACAGAGAACCGTTTACAGGTTTTCGCTTTATAAAACCGATTTTACCGTTTCTAGATTCTGACATCTCCCGTGCAAAAATTTCTTATTAAAACAGCGGGGTAGATATTTGGAATAACAAAATTAAATTAAAAACTAATAATATGTAATTTTATTTCAGATGCCATTGCGTTAAATAACAATGTCGATAGGGTTATTCGTAATCAAAACTTTTACAATTTTTTTAATTTTAGAGCTATTTTTGTTTTTATTTAGTGTTATTGTTTTAAAACAGCTTACATACGTACGAAACAATAAAAAATTAATTCGATTAACGAATTTCTATTGAATGCAAAACATCAAGACCAAGTTTCGAGTTGGTAACGAAACTCTTTACATAAATGTTCCATGTAGCTTAATGCTTGAGCTTCGCTTAAACGACCATATAACTTGAAAATTTCCACAAACGCATCATGCACTGAGTTCGGCATATTTCTTGAGTTCCTGTAAAAATAAACAATTATTAAATGAATTACAAAATTGTTAAATATTTTATCTTAATATTACTCCAAATTTGCTAGCACGATGTGACGTTGCTGCATTAGAATGTGTTGTGTACAATATTAGCCATTGTTATAAGATATCATTTAAAAAATTTTCACGTTTATCGTTCAAACGAAACTAACGACAATTGATTTGTATGCAGCTCTACTGTTCTATTTCAAAATATATTTTATCAAGTTCAGCAATGGTATTCGTAAATATAATCTGAACTTTTTGAAAACGACTTCTCTTTTCGGAAATGTTTTAGAAAAAAAATTCAAGTCAATTTTTCTCCATTTTGTGCGAGGCAAAACTTGAACAATATTACCTGGCTGCTGGCTCTTGTAAATTGTAGTCCTCAATTAAGATTTTTTAAAATGTATGATATCGTATCGGAGTAGATTTATTCCGGAGGCGGAATATATTAGGAGTCAATTAAAGGTTAAAAAGGTTAAAGGTCAATTACACTCTTCCATACTTCAGAAGATAGAACAAAGCGCACAAACATCGCAAATGAATACGTGCTAAACGACGCATCACATACATAAAGTTATTCTGCAGAGGAAAATAACTTCATTGATCGATTTCAAGTGTTTTCAAAGTATTTTTCATTTAGTGGTGATATTTAAGGAAAATAATATAATAATAATATCCAAACGTTACTACAACTTTGCCGTGAAATCTGGAAAAATTGCTCAATGCCGACTGAATGGAACTATAGCATGACAGTCCCGCTATACAAAGACAAAGGTGATCCTTTGAACTGTTCATCATATCGGGGTATACATCTGTTAGAACACTCCCTGAAAATTGTCGAGAAAATCATTGAGAGAAGATTAACGTCGTGCATCACAATCGGAAATTATCAATTTGGTTTTCTAGCGGGGAAATCAACAATTGATGCAATTCACATCCTTCGGCAACTGCAAGAGAAGTACCTCGCAAAGCATCAACAACTATCACACATTTTTGTAGACCTTGAAAAAGCATTTGATCGAGTTCCCCGTGAAGCAATCAGGTGGAGTTTACGTCGACAACTCATTCCAGAATATCTTGTTCGACTTGTGATGGAAATGGATACGAATACTAAGACTCTTGTCAGCACAACGGTTGGAAACACAGATGCATTTGACATCGGCGTTGGAGTTCACCAAGGCTCGATTTTCAGTCCACTGTTATTTATAACTGTGATGGAAGAAATCACAAAACCGATACGCTCTGGTAACATTTGGAATCTAGTATATGCTGATGATATCGTTTTAACAGCCACGTCTGAGCAGAATGCAGCACAGATGTTTGAAGATTGGAACACCAGACACGCTTATCATGGATTCAAAGTCAACATCAGCAAAACCAGAACAATGAACACTGGTGAACCCATCCAATCCACAGCTACTGGACGATGGCCCTGTTCAGTTTGTAAAGCTGGTGTAGGTAACAATTCGATCAAGTGTCAGCAGTGCAACCAGTGGTGTCACAAACGTTGTTCAAAAATAATTGGCACTTTATCTAAATTGTCCACTTTTGTTTGCCCTGCCTGCATCAATCTACAACAACAAATTCGAAATAGCACTGTTTTTGAAGCCATTAAGGTAGAGGAAGTCACATCGTTTCAATATCTAGGAGATGTTCTGGATTGTACTGGAACAGCTGAAGCTGCCGTTCGAGTACGCATACGTGCAGCCTGAAATAAATGGCATCTCCTTGCCTCTATATTGATGCGGCGTGACATCCCACTACAACTACGATCAAGACTTTTTATTGTTATATGGTGCAAAAACAGGGCCAATGACAACCAAACTGGAACAACAACTTCAACGAACCGACATGAAAATGCTCCGATGGATGCAACGAATTAGTCTGAAGGACCACATCAAATCTACCGTAATCCTGTGTCGTACTGGTTCAGATGATATAAAGGACGAATGCCGACAACACCGTTTGCGGTGGTTTGGTCATGTCAAACGAAATGGAAACAGTGCTATAACTTCTCTTGCAGATGTTGAAGTACCTGGCACACGTCCCAAAGACCGTCCAAAGAAGTCCTGGTCGCAAACAATCGAGCAAGACATGAAAGCTCTAAATTTAAATAAAATGGATACAACTGATCGTGTAATTTTGCGCAAAAAGTTGATGGCAAAGAAAACAACGTCCTACCTCGGAAAACCGGGTCTCTGGAAGCAAAACGAAGATTGATTGATTTAATGAAAATAATGATGCAAGTTAAAAATTTTTTAAGACTTGATTCGAATTTTTTGAGGGCCCGGAGTCGGATAATTTACGATAAAAATTTACGACCTGCACCCTGTATGATAAACCTCAAAAGGAATTTCAAATTGAAATGTTATCGACAAAGCCAGTTGGACCCACAACCCAGCGTTTTGTAAAAAATGATTATTTAATTAAGGCTTCATTCATTATTTATTAAAAAGATATCGAAGTGAAAATTACCAAATTTAAAAAAAGTAGATAAAGCAAAAGAAATAATAATGGAGATGGACGAATATATAAAAAATAATAAGGAAAGATTAACATTTTTTAAAACAAAAATGTTTTTGAATATGTACCCTGACAAGAGGATAGAAGCTCCTCGAATATCAATTAGATTCCATAATAAAAGACCGTTGTTTTTCAAAACATGCTGAACATATACTTTGTCCGCCTGCAATAAATTTTTAATTTTTTTCAACCTGTTTTTAAACCTTTATTCTGTAACATACACAAAATCATTTTTTCGGCAAGTGTGTGTAAACAGCAAATTGAAGTTATATGCAGAATATAAGTCATATAATTAAATTGTTATATTTTGAAATGAAAAGAAATAGGAAGATTTCGTTTACGATGAAGTTGTTCAGGCAGATTTGAACTTACAAAATATTAAAATACTGCTTCAGCAGTCACAATAATTAAACAGATTTTTCAAAAAATTTCAAAACACATATTTTTTAAACACACCTGATCTCGAGAAAATGCCAAAAACAAATGAAGACATTTGTCTTTAACTAACTTTTCCCACTCATCCTTGAAAAGGTAATCTCTTTTTTTATAGCGACAACCAAAAAATAAGTAATTGTCTGCAAACATGTTAATAAATTATTTTTAATAAAAAAAAGTTGAAATAATTGCAAAAATAAACAAGGACGTAGACATGAAAATCAAATTGTTGTAATAATAAATAACCCATGACATGTTCAGCCACTCTCTCTCCGATATAACTCCTGAAAATACTACATCCTGTTCCAGGACCTATCATAATCAGTGGCCTGTGGGACGGTGGTGCTACAAAAGTGCCATCAACTATCGACAGTTGGATCACGTCTGCGTATGTATGAACGATGGAATTTCACCAGACATAGAAATAATTATATTTAAAAATTATGGACCTACTTCCAGAATTTTTAGCAGCCAAGTAATTGGAACACAGGCCTTTTCTTAGCTCCTTTAGTTTCGTTTTATATTCAACGACGGCGACTACTAATTCTAGTTCTTTCAAAGAATTCTTCATCAAACACATAAACAAGATATTTTCACCATAATATTAAAAACTAGGTAACTTAACAGATGAGACTAACGGATGGAGCCGAAGAAATGCTGAATGCTCTGGCTTTAATAGCTGGAATGATGTCCAAAATGTGAGATAAAGAAAGGTGCTTTCTTGTGCATGGAAAGTCGGTTAAAACCTTATCAAAATATTTATTATCGTATTATTGTGAAAGAACATTAATCAATCTAACGAAATGAGCAAAATATTATTAGATAATTAGATAAATAATATTTTAAAACTCATTTTTAAAGAATGATACCTCTAAAATGTTTCTTCTCGGTCTGTTACAGTAAGAGAACAATTCTTCCTAAATATAATAGTACAATGTCATGCAGAGGCACTTAATAATTCATTTAATACGTTAAATTATAAGAAAACGCAAAATTTTTCATATTTAAAAAAAAACATCAGTAATGAATTTAAAAAAAATAAATTTTTCTAATAGCCTAGATATTCAATGTTGTATATCAAAATGGTTTATTAGCCATATTAAATAAGAATACACTTGAAGAAATCAAACCTGTCCTTCTAGTGAACAAAACTCTTGCAGTTTGTTTTGCTCTAATAACAACCTTTCATGGTCACCGTTTTCATCATCAGCATCGCTCCATCTATTAACATCATCCACTTCGTCAATGATACCACAGCCATTAACACTTCTGTTCTTACCTTCCAGTGAAAAACCTGCCAAAACTTCCCAGAAGTACGACTTTGGAATGGACGTGATGTCGAGATGATGTCTAACCAACCAATCAATGCTGCACGGCTGAGGTAAACCTAACTCTTCTGATGAGCCTGTTGTTTATTTATGTGTCAGTCAGTCAGTCAGTCAGTCAGTCAGTCAGTCAGTCAGTCAGTCAGTCAGTCAGTCAGTCAGTCAGTCAGTCAGCTAGCGATGAAAAGTTAACAAATAAATAAAAAAAAATAAGCCAACTCACCACAATCTCTAGCTGTCCATTGAAAAAATGTCTGAGGATCAAGATCCATGATCTGCAGGAACCGTTTCACATTCTCGTCTGAATTGCTTGGCTGAATCATGCAAACATCACCTGGCTTGTATCTGTTCGTTGATTTTTGAATATTTTCAAAAAAAAAATTAGAAATATAGAAATGAAGAACTACATTTTTTCTAAGTTTCATAAATTACAATCCAATCATTTAAGAACTCACTTAATAGTAACAATTTTTTCATTTAAATTTAATATAAACACCAATGAGAAAACACAATTTATGAACGTTATATCGACAGATTTAAAAAACTGACATAAACTAAAATAAAAAAGAATGAATGAATTAATTAACTAATTGAAGAACGAATGAATTAAGAAATAAGTCGTTAACGGTCAGTTGGTATAAATAATTAGAAATATTTAGAAAAGAAGAGTCAGATTGGAGAGTTCAAAGAGGTTAGTTGTTGCGTTGGTAGCCGCTTAGTGATATGTTGTCGCTTGCTATTGAACGTTGGAAGCAGTTGTGGTAATGTGTTAGTCGTTAGTTAATGTCATAGAAGTTCTCGGTACCTTGTCGTCAACCAGCACGAAGTTTCTACATTCCACTGAATAGTCACACGTTTTCTGCAGTCAACTTGTCGTCAACCAACCGTTTCAAATACAGCGGTGTCATAAACACATATCCTGACAGTTAAGAAAATACTCGAACCTTCAGTAATTTTGTTATTAGATTTCATTGTAGTCTCTGTTCAGAATTACGAGTTTTAATTTGTGGAGACGGATGCTGAGGAAGAACCTCACATGAGGTCTTCCTTGACATTACTTTTCTTGACAATTTCTTGATGACGTCTTTGACTCTGCTAACATCATCTCCAGCCTAAGGCAGATTGAACATGACAATATTATAACCTCTTTCTTTATTTCATTTGCATTGTCTAATGAATTCTTCACATATTTTACTCTATCACTGATTACATCAATGTTCTTAACATTCTTTTAAGCAATATCTGCCTAACTCTTGTTTAGAATCTAAACATACACCTAATCTTTAGTGATCTAAACTTAGAATTTCAGTACCGAGATTGGCGGTTGGTTTACCCAAACTGTCAAATTTATCATCATTTCTTTTTATCGGAAATTTTATTTGCTTTAAACGCAGCAAGCAAGGAAAGTGTAGGCATGGTGAGACGTGGTGGTGGGATGAAGATATAAGAAGGGTTTTGGAAGTCAAGAAGGAGAGGTTTAGGGTATGGAGATGGGACATGACGGAGGAAGCGGAGTCTGAGTATAGTAAGGCTAAGAAGGTTGCAAAACAGGCAGTGGCAACTGCAATGACGAAAGCATCAGATAGGTTAATGAAGGAAATGGAATTTGATGTGAGTTCGAGGAAAATGTTCAAAGTAGCAAAGCAGTCAATGAGGGATAGGAAAGATGTTATAGGGAATGGATGTGTTTGGGATGGATCTGGCAAGTTGTGCATAGATGAGGAGGAAAAAGCTCAGGTGTGGAAAGCTCATATGGAAAGGTTGATGAATGAAGAGAACGAGTGGGATGGAGATGTGGAATCCGCGGTCACACACGGACCTATAGAGAAGGTGACGATGGAGGAAGTAGAGAAAGCAGTTAGAGAAATGAAACTAGGTAAGGCGACAGGGGTTTCGGAAGTGGCGGCAGAACATATTAAAGCGAGTGGGGTGATAGGAATTGAAGTTATGATGAGAATTGCTAACAGTATGTTTGATGATGAAGGTATACTTGAGGATTGGCGACACAGTGTGTTGGTGCCGTTGTATAAGGGCAAAGGAGATGTGAGAGATTGTGGGTCATACAGGGGAGTGAAATTACTAGAGCACGGAATGAAGGTAGTGGAGAGGGTGCTTGAGAGGAGGTTGAGAAGTATGGTGACAGTTAATGAAATGCAGTGTGGGTTTATGCCTGGTAGGGGAACGGTGGATGCGTTGTTCATGGTGAGAATGTTGCAGGAGAATTATAGAAAGAAGAAACGAAGATTGTACATGTGTTTTGTGGATCTAGAAAAAGCTTTTGATCGAGTACCGAGGAAGGTCATTGAATGGGCGTTGAGGAAGAAAGGAGTGAATGAGAGACTTGTTAAAGCTGTAATGCAGCTGTATGAAGGGGCAAAGACAAAGGTGAGGGTTGGAAGGGGGATGTCGGACGCTTTTAGTGTTAAGGTAGGAGTGCATTAAGGATCAGTGTTATCACCGTTTCTGTTTGCAATTGTGATGGATGTTGTGTGTGGAAACATAATGGAGGGGTTGTTATTTGAAATTTTGTATGCAGATGATTTAGTCTTGATGGCTGATAGCATGGAAGAATTGCAGTTAAAATTTGACAGATGGAAAAGTGTTATTGAAAAGAAAGGGTTAAAAGTTAATATTGGTAAGACGAAGGTAATGGTGAGTGGGGAAGGTGGGGAGCGAGTGATAAGTAAAATAGACCCCTGTGGGGTATGTGACAGGAGAGTGAAGGCTAACTCGGTATTGTGTATAGGATGTCAGAAATGGGTGCATAAGAGATGTAGTGGTGTGAGGGGGGCACTGAAAAAGGTGGAAGGCACGTTCAAATGTAAGAAATGTGTTCATGTTGTGATCAATAG